CGTGGACCCCTGGACAGATCCTCTTTCCTCCCTCATTTCCTGGAGGCCCAGGGCCAGGGTTTTTTCATCCTCCGCCAGCGGTGGGGGTGGACTGGTCGGGGGCTGAGACTCCTAGGAGATGCCCCAGCCCCCCCATTCCCAGCCTCCTTTCCCAGGGACCCAGGCTGGGATGTGTGGGGGTGGGGGTGGGAGATTTCAAATCTTTGTCCCTGTGCGGGAGGTGACTTGCCAAAGAAACCTGCCTCTGCATTTCCTGGCCATTTTTCTATTCCTCAGCAGCCGAGCTTAGGGCAGCAGAGGGGAAACTGGCTTCTCCCGATTTCTCTCTATCTTCTGCAGAAATGCTGTAACTGCACTCCAGGGGCTATGTGAATGCCGGATGCTTGGAAAGTTCCTCTCCCATCTGCCTTCCATCCTTTCTGCTGCAAAGATCTGTGGTCCTCCGAGGGGCTCTCCAGGAGTCAACCCCCTGCCCGATCTGTGAAACTCATTCTCCACCGCCCTCAGGGCCCCCTTCTCTGGCTCAGGATGAGAGGGAGATGCTGGGTGGGGGCCTGGGGAGAGCGGCCACGCTAAAAATAGGGGCTCCCAACGGCACCCCCCAGCCCCTTATTTATCACCTTCCAAACCCCTCTCTCAAAGAAGCATAAATACGCATTCCTAATCCTGAAGGCCAGCCCCGAGCTCATAAATTTGACTGGGGAGATGGGCACGGGGGAGGCGCGGGGTGCGCGGGATGGGGAGCCCACTGCGACCCTGGGGAAGCTGACCGTCTCGGGCAGGAGGCGCCGCCGTCCCGGCCAGCGCCCGGGGCTCTGAGGGGAGGGACGGTGTCTCCCTCGGTAGTTACTCTGGGGGGAGGCTTTTCTCACTACCCCCCCCCAACAAATAAAAGCCCTTGGCGCTGTCTTCTCCATCAGTGCTCATCCTCCTCCCTCCCTCTCTTGGCGATTGCCTCCTAGCCCTGTCCTGCTCCTCTCTCGCCTCTATATTGAGCTTGTCTCTATGTCTCTGCTCCTCTCATGCTCGCCCTTTCATTGTCTGAAGAGCACATTTTCCGTCTTATTCAATCTGGGCAGTGCTGCTCGAAAAGTCTCAGTTCCCGCTTCAGCCATTTGCCGCCTTCAGTGCCCTTCCTTTCCAACCTCCTTCCTCCCCTCACCTCACCTCCCTTTTCCCTCCCTCAGTCTGTGCTCCTCAGCCTTCCTTTTTTTTTTTTAAATCACCCCTTTGCCCCTTTGGCCTCCTCAGTTTCCCCTCAGCGCTTCAGCACAGAATCCTCTCTCCCTCTTCAATCGTCTCTCCTCTCCCCCCACTCCCACCCCTCAGACTCCTCGGCCCATGGGTACCCCCTCCGACCCCCTGGTTCCCCTCCGGCCGGTGAAGGGAAGGGGGGAGGGGGCTTGAGGCGCAGGTAGAGGGAGCGCGGGGCCTGGAGGGAGGGAGAGACAGGAGAAAAGGGGGAGCGGGGGCGGAAGCGGGGGCGAGGGGAGGGGCATCTCACTCCCCGGCGGCGCCCCCCTTCCCCGCAGTCACTGAGCCGTAAATCAGGGCCGAGGCAGTTTGGCCAATGGTAGAGCGACTCGTAAATCGGCCTGTCAAGCTCAGCCAATGAGAGGTGGCGTTAAATCAAGTCCTGTCAGCGCTCGGCCAATGAAAGGCCCTGGGTTGACCATAAATCTGCCTGAAGGAGACAGCGACGGAGAGAGAGTGTGCGGGCGAGCGAGAGCGGCGGGGGCGGGGGCGGGGGCGGGGGGCGGGGGAGCTGAGTGCGGGGAAGGCGGGGAGCGGGAGGGGGGAGAGAGGAGCCTATGCGCAAGAAGGCGATAACATAGGTACTAAGAGGTGAAGACAGCCGCAGGACAGACGGACAGATGGAGAGAGACAAAGAGAAGCCTTGAGAGACAGCGTCAGAAAGTCCGGGACGGAGCGCGGGCTCGGGCGGGAGAAGGACACTGACGCACACTCAGGAGGGCCCCCCAGTGCACATACTCCCCCAGACACGCGTGGGCTCCGCATCGTGAGGGACTTAGGGCTGGACTCGCGCACAGTGTGCACCCGCAAGAGAGAGAAAGCCTGAGAGGGCATCTTCTGCCTCTTTTCCCTCAGCTCTAATGGAGATTAGGAGGGGTGGGGGGTGGATGTGTGAACTGTGGAGGGTGAGGGACGAGGGCCTTGCTTCTTGCTAAGATCTGTCCTCTCGGTCTCAGGCTCCAGGGTGCCTTTCTGTGTCCCTTTGAGTCATTTTCCAGCGACTGATAATTGGGAAGTCCCTCCTGAGGTCTAACCTCAATCCCTATTGCTGTTCATTTCTACTAACTAACACTTTTAAATTGCTTTAATGGAATATGAAAACGGAACACTTTACAAACCTTCAGAGAACTGTCAACTTTCAGAATCTTAGAAGGTCTGAGCAGGAAAGACATTTAGGGATCAATTGGTCACTTGATTTTAGTTTTATTGTTTTGTTGTTTTTATTTTATAAATATATTTTATTGATTTTTTTACAGAGAGAAAGGGAGAGGGATAGAGAGTTAGAAACATCGATGAGAGAGAAACATCGATCAGCTGCCTCCTGCACACTCCCCACTGGGGATGTGCCCGCAACCAAGGTACATGCCCTTGACCGGAATCAAACCTGGGATCCTTCAGTCCGCAGGCCGACGCTCTATCCACTGAGCCAAACCGGCTAGGGCTGTTGTTGTTTTTAAATATATATTTTTTATTTCAGAGAGGAAGGGAGAGGAAAAGAGAGATAGAAACATCATTGACGAGAGAGAATCATTGATTGGCTGCCTCCTGCTCACCCTACACTGGGGATTGAGCCCGCAACCCAGGCATGTGCCCTGACTGAGAATCAACCAGGGACTCTTCAGTCCACAGGCTGACGTTCTACCCACTGAGCCAAACCAGCTAGGGCTTGTTGTTGTTTTTTAATCCTCACCTGAGGATATTTTTCCATTGATTTTTTAGAGAGAGTGGAAGGGAGGGGGAGAGACAGAGAGAAACATTGATGTGAAAGAGACACAGTGATTGGTTGGCTCTCCCACACCCCCAACCAGGGCCGAGGATCGAGCCTGCAACTGAAGTGCATGCCCTTGACCTGAATGGAACCTGGGACCCTTCAGTCCGAGGGCTGACGTTCTATCTGAGCCAAACTGGCTAAGGTGATTCTAGTTTTAGAAAGGCTGCTGTTCGACACCTGGGCTGGTACTGACTGAGCTCAGACTCTCTGCCCTCAACTCATGGTCATACCACTTAATAGCCTTTTGACTTTGGACAAATTGCTTAACCCAAATTGTGTTTCTTTCTATTTTTCATTTGTAAAAAAGATATTATAATAGATACCTTATGGTCAATTTTGTGGGGATTACACAAAATATATTTACAGGATTTAGGACAGTCCCGGGGCACATAAAAGAGGGCACTCCTCCCTCATTGTTATACAGATAATAAAGCCTGAGGCCCAGAATGGTCAAGGGTCCTGCCCGGGTTCACAGAACTAATTATCAGAGAACCTCGACTGAAACCTGGTCTTTACACTCCTGGGCACGTGTTGTTTTTGGTCCTTGTTATTGTTCACCCCGCCTGCCTGGGCCCCTGCCCTGCCTCAGTAGCTTGAACGCCTGAACTCGATTCCGTTTAGGCTGCTGTGATTTTTGTGAAAGAGGATACTTCAGAAGCACATGTTCCAGATCAGGAGGCAGGATTCCTGGGCCCTTGGAGTGTTAAATGTGAGAGTCCACCCCACTCTGAATCTCTCTGGACTTGACTTTGTTCTCTCAGTCCATGGACTTGGGGCCAGGGAGGGAACAGCACGCAGCCAGAGCAGTGTTGCTGTCAACATGACTCACCTTCCATCCCCAATGCCCACCCTGATCCACCACCCTAACCAAGTACTGTGCACAGTAAACATCTCATGAATAATACATGTATAATTAATTCTTTACTTTTCTCCCTAAGTTTGAGGAAGAGCGAGGGATGCAGATACCTGGGTCTCCACCCCTGCTGGCTGAGAGGGGAGCGGGTATCTCTGGACTCCCGGTCCCTCTGACACCGTGTGTCCTCCACAGGGAAGCCAGAAAGAAAACGCAGAGAACCAGCGTCACCTGGTGGTGACAGGTGCTTTAAGTTCGAGAGTGAGCCTGCAGAAGGTTGACAGGATGCTGGGCAGTCTGGAGGAAGGGGATGGTATGATTTCCCCTCAGCCTGGCCCCTGAGCCCTCTTAACTAGAGTCTCTGTTCTGCTTTCATAACCCAGGCAGACAAGAGCAAGTCTGGGGGAAGTGCGAGGTCAGGTGAATTAGCTCCAACCAGTGTGGCCCTGCTAGGGCAACTGGAACTGTCATTGCTTCTGCTAAGCCAGTGGTTCTCAACCTTGGCTGCACATTAGAATCAACTGGGAATCTTTTTAAAATCCTGATTTCTGGGCCTCATCCTTCGGAAATTGTTTGTTACTAATGTTGTGGCCCCACCCCATAACAAAGAAACAATTTCCGGAGGATGAGGCCCAGAAATCAGGATTTTAAAAAGATCCCCAGGTGATTTTAATGTGCAGCCAAGGTTGAGAACCACTGTGCTAAGCTCAGTTTTATTTCCACAGAGCGTGAGTCCTCTCCCAGGACCATTCTCTTTGGATAAGTCAAGAGTCAGGGGGCTAGCCTCACTTGAAGTGGTTATCAAAGCTGAATTTAAAAAAAATATTTTTTTAAACTGAAAAACATCTGTTTGCAGGGATGAGGGGGATCCTGGCAGCAGTAGTTAGGGGTAGGAACCATTTCTGAGAAGTTAAAAAAAGGCAGGCTAATCCTCTTAAACCAAACTCACATGTTTTTTTTTTTACCTGGAAACTCCTCAGCTGAAGGTGATGTCCGGACCTAGGCCCACTGCTTCCTGCTCCTGCTCTGACCTGGGTCCCCCCCCAAACCCTCCATTATTAAGTTCCAGCTGCAAACCAACACTGGCTTATTTCCTTTTTCTCCAAAGACCACACCTGAACATTAAAAGGATGGAATTCATTTATTAATAATTAATAATGCACCTTGGGCAGCCTGGGGCTGAAACACTGAGCAAGGGATAGAGATGTCTGGTTTGGGGGTCAAGGGGAGGTTGTCCGTGAAAATGCCCACAGGTTTTACTCTCATCTACTGCATACCAGCTGGCCACTCTAGTTCTGGATGAAACAGTCTCAGATTCTGGTGCCGAACACAGTTCTAACGGAGCTTACGGAAACTCCAGAGCCTACGGAAACTGTGGGGTCCTCGTTGTAGGAGGGAGACATACGCTTGGCGGAACTGGCGGTTCATGGCTGCATAGAGCACAGGGTTGATGCAAGCATTGAGCCAGGTGAAGTTGGCAGCAAGCATGTGGACAACCCGGGGAGCCCGGACCTTGGCATCCAGGATGTTGAGCAGCAAGAAAGGGATGTAGCTCACGGTAAAGCAGATGAACACAGCAAAACACATCCGAGTCACCTTCCCAGACTCTGATGGAGAGTCCTGAGCTTTATGGGCTCCTTTAGTTGGCCTGGTCTTGGCAGGTGCCTCTGGAGGGCTTTTCTCTGCCATGTGCTGAGCGACCTTGCTGCTGCTCTGGTCCCCCACTTCTGATGAGTCTCCTTCCAAGGTCTGGGTGGTGGCAGCACTGGCTGGCTCAGATGAAATCCCCTCACTGGGCCTTCCTGATGCCACCCCGCTGTCCAGCTCCTGGAAATGACCCGGCACAGCTTCATCTGTCCCAGCCACATAGTGGGAGCGGACATCCGTCTGGTGCAGCTTGTACTGAACCAGCGCCTGTGCTGCTCGCTTCACCTGGCGGTGGATGAGGCAATAGAACACGCCGACACTGCTGAGCCCAAGCACAAAGTAGATGCCCAAGAGGATGGTGGTGTAGGGTCGGCCTCGGATGCGGTCAAAGCTGCAGGTGCAGACTACCGGCACCAAGATATAGACATTCCAGAGCGGGGCAAAGCTGGCCACACCTAGCACCCAGGTGCCCACCAGAGCCAGCACTATCCCCTTGGCACTGAACACTTGGGGAAAGAGGTTAGGGTGGGCAATGAGGAGGTAGCGTCCCAGGGCGATGAGGCAGAGGGTGAGGATGGAGACAGAGTTGGACGTAAAGAGGAGGAACCCAAACACCCTGCAGAAAGTGGCGCCCGTTCTCCAGTGCAGGTGGAGGTAGGTGTCCACGGAGAAGGGCTGGAGGAGGGTGCAGTAGAGCAGATCGGCTACCGTGAGGTTGGCGATGAGCAGGTTGAAGTGGGTACGGAGCTTGGGCTGGATGGCCAAGGCCAGCAGGGTGAGCACGTTGCCCACAGTGCCCGTCACAGCTACCACCACCCCCCAGATAACTGCCACATAACGATAGCCCACCACAGACTCGTGGTAGCAGGAAAAGTTGGCATCAGAGGTGTTCCACATGATGGAGGCTGAAGGGAGTGAGTAGAAGAGGAAGAGGGAGTCAGAGCTTGACTGTGAATTTGGATCTCTTGAACTACTCTGCTCCCTTGGACACCTGAACTGCTCTGGGAGCTCACCCGCCTCCTGAGCCATTCCCGGGCCTCTTCATCTCAAGATTCCCAACCCTCTTAGTCCTTTCCCATTCTCAATGATTCTCCCAAATTCTTATCTAAATATCTTAATCTCTGTACACTTCAAACTCCAGGCCTTATTCAATATCTATCCACATACTCGTAGTAACCCCAGTGCCCTCCAACATTTTTAATTCCTCCCCTGTCCTCTAAGACCACCCAGGAGTCCCCTGTCTGTACCCAGGAGACTGTCATACTCCTCTCTGCTGTGCTTTGCTACACACACATGCTGGCCTCAGTGTTTTGTTTTGTGTGTGTGTGTTTTTCTGTTTTTACCACCTCTGAGATGCAGAGACAGAGAAAGAAAAGTACACCCACCACAAAATTACTCACCTGAGTCTCCCAGCCTTCAATGCTCTCTCCGATGGGAGAAGAAATCCAACTCACTCAAAGAGCAGTCCCTTCCAGTGGGCAGTCAGGCTTCACACAGGAGGAACCCTGCTCAGGTCTCTTTATACGAGGCTGAAAGAATAAGAAACTCCTCACTTACCCAACCTGAGCCACTTCCTTCCTCGTCGCTGGTTCTACTTGTTCTGCTTTGGCTAGTGAAATCTGGGCTTCTCTGTTGAAATTCCCCTGCTACTTACCCCAAAGCCATATCAATTCCTTCCTTTCTCCTTTCTGAGGCCCACACTATGTTTCCTTCCTCTCTTTGCATAGCAGAACACCCGGAAGATCATCGCCAAGAATTGTTGAGGCATGGAGACAGAGCACCAGGACATCTGGGCCACTTCTCAAGGGGCCGACAGACAAGACCAAGTTCCAGGAGCAATTCTGGGTACCCCAGAGGCCTTGACTTTGTTTTGGGGGAGTACTACCTTCCCTCTCTCCAGGACTTGGTGATGGTTCAAGTCAGAATCCCATGTGCTATCCTAGCACATGTAGGGCATTTGAGACAAAGGGCACGGGGTGCATAGAGTCACAGAGGCTTACGTGGAGGTGAACAAAAAGTGTGAGGTAAGAAGCAACAGAGAAGATCCTGGAGAGGCGAGCAAGGCTGAGATTAAGAAAGGCCTTGTGGCCCTAACCGGTTTGGCTCAGTGGATAGAGCCTTGGCCTGCGGACTCAAGGGTCCCAGGTTCGATTCGGTCAGGGGCATGTGCCTTGGTTGCGGGCACATCCCCAGTGGGGGGTGTGCAGGAGGCAGCTGATCGATGTTTCTGACTCTCTGTCCCTCTTCCTTCCTCTCTGTAAAAACCAATAAAATATATTTAAATTAAAAAAACAAACAAAAAACAAAAACAAGAAAGGCCTTGTGTATCATGCTGAGGAGCTGGGCGTTTTTTTTCTTTTCTTTTGGTTGTTGTTTTTAATGTTTTTCTTGAATTTAGAGAGAGAGGGAGGAGAGAAACATCAATCAACTGTCCTCCACTCGCCCCTCATCGAGCCTGCAAACCAAGCATGTGCCCTGACTGGGAATCCAACCGGCAACCTCTCAGTGCCTGGGATGATGCTCAACCAACTGAGCCACACCAGTCAGGGCAGCAGCTGGGCACTATCCAAAGGTGCTGCAGAGACTGGCACTAAGAGAGCTGCGAGGAAGAAGTGAAAGCTTGAGTTCCGGCAGAGAGCGCAGTGAGAAGCGCTCAAGATTCCCAACCCTCTTAGTCCTCCTCTCCTCCGGGCCCCTCCAGGCCCTCCGGCCCCGGCCAGGCGGGTGCACTGGGGGCCCGGGGACGGGCAGCAGGCTCTGTCCTGCAGACCCGGAGCCCTCCCTGTGGGTGCCCACTGCCCAGGCCCAAGCTCGGAAGCGGCAGCGAATCTCTCTCTCCACCCCCACCTCCACCTCCGCGACCTGATGGCGGTGGCCTCCCCCAGGTGCAGCCTGTGCACCGCAGGATCTCCAGCCTGACCGCCCTGGGCCTAAGCGGAGCCCCCCGCCACAAGCCCCTGGACAAGACCAGGCAGGGGCTGAGGTCGCGCTGCCTTGAGCCACGGGCATGGCGGGGCGAGAAGAATGGCCGCCGCTGGAATGCGCAGGGGGAGGACCCCTAGGGCCTCGGAGGCCCAGAGGCGGGTCTGCGTGGACACAGCTCGCCCCCCCTCAGGGCTGGAAGCGGCTCGGATGGGCGCCTGGGGTGACTCCTCTGTCCCAGTGGGAGGAGACCTCACCTCGTCTGGACCCCGATGGACAAAGGCCTTCACGGGCCGAAGGTGAGCGGAGCCCCAGGGCCTTCGGGCGGTTGGTCTTCGTTCTACTATAAACCTTGATTTCGGAAGAGAAATGGCAGAAGAACATGCCACATTTGGCTACTAGGAAGGGCCCGCCACCCTTTGCGAAGATTTACTGGCCCTTTATAGGCGCCTGTGTATATAATACGAAAAAGCTGCTCTCAACGTTCCCCCTAACCTTTCAAGAGAATTTTGCTACATCTAGGCCTTCTAGATGTAAAGAGGTTGCCAACGTATGATAAAGTAGTTAGAAAATCACACGTCTTGCAAACGCCCATTTTAAAAAAATACATCAAAAGAAATGTCTTCTGGAAATGACTTTGAGATGGAATTGTCAGACGACCTCTAGAAACGGCACGCGACATCCAGAGCGACACAGCCACGTTCGCCCCGTGGGTGAGAGGACCTGGAGAGAAGACCTTGAGGAGGAAGAAAAGAAGGTTCTATGCCAGACTGGTCATATTTAGAAGACATTTTCATATTATAACCATTGTTTTATGTGTGCAGTTTATTCCTCACTACTGTATAATAGTTGACAATGCCAAGTACTTTTTTGAAATACCTATCTTTCTATATGCTCTGAAGTGCCTGATAAAAGTAGAGGTAGTAAAAAAAAAAAAGACATTTTAATAAATACCTTGTTAAAATTCATATCAAATACTCTTATTTTGGGAAATGGCCAAACCACCTCTTTGACAGTACACATTTGTGCACTGGTTCAAGGGAGAAGGAAGGGCAACGAGCTGGATGCCAGTGTGTTTCAAAATGAGGCAGATTAACCATTGTCCTTTATGTTCATGCATTTAGTTTTCCTTAGCTGTGTATATAGTGTATATAATGGACAAATGAGTCCTAATTTACAACATCTAGTCTTTCTAGATGTTAAAGAGGTTGCCAGTGTATGACAAGAGTTAGTTAACTAATGCATTTTGTACATTTGTGCTAAAATTTCTAGGAAAGATTGTCTTCTGAATATTTGAGCATTATAGCCTACATGGTTGGTGGAGGAGGGCAAGAAGGGAAAGATAGTCTTAGACTACAATGTTCGTATTTCAAAGACACTTTTGGATTATAACTGTTAAATGTGCAGTTTATTCAAAACTGCTGTGTATATAGTGGATAAATTAAGTCCTTTTTTGAAACATCTAGTCCATCTAGATGTTTAGAAGTGCCCAACGTATGTTAAATGTAGAGGTAGTAAAATATCACTTTTGTAAATATCTTTTTACTAAAATTCATAGGAAATACTATCTTTTGGGAATGGAATTGTTAAACCACCTCTGTGAGCAATATACTATAGTTGATATTTGTTCAGTAGTTTGGGAGGTGGGAGGAAAAGAATTGCAAAAGGTAATATGCTGGTGTATTCATATTTGGATATTTTCAGATAAAGCCATTTTTATATGTTATGTGCATTTTGTTTTGCTGTGTATATAGTGGACAAATAAGTCCTAAAATTGCAATAGCTAGTCTTTAGATGTTAAAGAGGTTGCCAGTATATGACAAAATAGTAAAATTATTGTATTTTGTACACTTTGTGTTGAAATTCATAGGAAAGCTTGTCTTGTGTAAATGACTTTTGGATATGAATTTGTTCAACCACCTCTAAATATTACACACACCTGTACTTGTCCACTGGATTTGTGGTGAAGAGAAGGGAGTGAGAGGGAATGGTTCAGGCCAACATGGTCATATTTCGTAGATACCTCGGATTATAACCATTGTTAGTATGTGCAATTTTAACAGTGCTGTGCACATAGTGGGCAAGTAAGAATTATATGAAATATCTAGTCTTTCTAGACATTTAGAAGTGCTAGATGTACTTAAAAGTAGAAATAGCAGAATAATGCTTCTTGTAAATAGCTTTTAAAACCTGATAGAAAATACTGTCTTTAGAAATGGAATTGTTAAATCACCTCTCTGAACAGTGTACTCTATGTACTTGTTCACTACTAGGTTGAGGGAGGTGGGAGGGAAGAAATTGCAAAAAGATGTTTTGCTAGTGTGTAATAGAAAATTTTAGCTTATCCTTTGCCGCTCTATATGTTACATGCATTTCATTTACCTTTACTGTATATATTGTGAATATACTGGACAAATAGGTCCTAATTTTATAATATCTAGTCTCTAGATATTAAAGAGGTTGCCAATGTATGACAAAAGTAGAGTTAGTAAACGAACACATTTTGTACACTTTGTGTTAAAATTCATAGAAAGGCTGTCTTCTGAAAAGGACTTTGGAAATCAAATTGTGAAATCTACCTGTAAGTGA